GTTCTGGAAATTTTAATGGAAAGAAAATAGAATAATAATTATTGGTCGTAAAACTATCTGTCAGTCTATTTAACTATATTCCTGCAGTTCAATAGCCATGAGGAAGAGAGTACTATTTGCCTGCAACCCAAATGGTCTACTGTATGAGTACAATAACCATGAGGAAGAGATTTATTTGCCTGCAGCACAAATGGTTTACTGTATGAGTACAATAGCCATGAGGAAGAGAGTACTATTTGTCTGCAGCCCAAATGGTCTACTGTATGTGTTCAATAGCCATGAGGAACAGTGATATAATTGTTCTGGAAACTTTAATGGAAAGAAAATAGAATAATAATTATTGGTCGTAAAACTATCTGCCAGTCTGTTTAACTATTTGCCTGCAGCCCAAATGGTTTACTGTGTATGAGTACAATAGCCATGAGGAAGAGAGATATAATTGTTTTCGTTCCAACTTACTAGTCGGTCAAATGAATGGATGCTAAAAAAATCAACAATAGGTTGAAATAGCAAGTTATTTGCAATTTTTTGGGTCATCAAAACTGGCACTTTTCGAAAATAGCTAGTAGTCTATCAATAAAAGTGATGACGACAAAACAAGTTGCAAGACTTTGTTGATGCTAATAATATTGACTGATGATAGGTTACTAATAATGATTGGTAGCCATCATAATGTATAAACTAAATCTTGACCTGGTTCATTCACCATTAACTTATTACCTTATTAACATGTTTCGCAGAGCAACAAAATCACAATGGTCTACATTCTCCACTAAAAAAGGTAAAAATAACTGGTTAGTAATTAATAATAATAATAATAATAATAATGATGATGATGATGATGATAATGATTTAAGAAAAACCTACAGAGACACAAGTGTGCATATATCTAATTATAAATGACTGTATTGCTTAATAAATCAAACAGCTTATAACACTTTGTTGAGTGTTACGAAATGCACACACAGGAAGTAACCTAAGCACGAAGATGTGTAAAGAGAACCACAAGCTGCTATACACTCTAAAACTCTTAGAGTGCAGAACAGCTCATGCTTCTCTTCACAATTCTTTTGTGCTTATATCACTTCCATCTATATATACATATTCAAATGAGAGAAACTGTTAACCATTTATGACAGTGTTTTTAAAGCGATTATTTACCTTCTGCCACGCCCCATGGATAGACTCTAGCTCTCACTCTTTTACCATTGACTTCTAGAACTGTATTACTGCCAACAACAGCAAAGGGTATTCTGTCCTGTAAACAGAAATATATATGTAATATATAAATGGTCCATTAAAGTAAGACAGATAAAAAATTAAATTCATAAAATAAATGGGATTCAGCACTAGTTTCACAGCTTGGCTTTCCATTGTCACATCCAATAGTAGCCTGTGTTACATCCGGAATTTTCTTCATATATATGAAGAAAATTCCAGATGTGATGCAGGCTAATCCAATAGTCCCCTTCACAGTTCCTTGCGCCATCTTAAAAGGTAGCCATGCCTTTGCATCGAAGCGAGATGAACGGTGAGCTTACAAGGGTAGAGACATGTGAATAATATTGTCCAAGGTGTTAATAAAAAGACAACAGGACATGCCACTAAAACTTGCTATAATTAAAATAATAATGATGAATACAATCAATGTCCTTGAACCTATGATTTTTAAGTGTCCTTACCCTCATATTTGTAGAATCTTGTTCACTATCATCCTCTCCAGCTAGGTCAGGGAATTCATAGATACCAATGTCATTTTCTTTGATCTCTTGTAGGATCTGAGTAAAATATGACAGGATATAATCCAGATCAGAACACAAAGTTTTTGACTTGCAGCAGCGAAAAACCAAATTTTAGTGTGCAACTCACAGACACAGAGTTTGCATGTTTATGAAAATTGCAGTAATGACCTTAAACATTGATAAGCATTAAGGACAGCAATGCYGAATGATGATTATCAGTCCAAAATGTAATCCTCCTCATCGATCAGTGTCATCATCATCATCCAGGTTTACCAAACTGATATCACTGTCATCATTATCATGTTTGAATGTGATTATCATGATCATGTATCACACATCATTATAAAATAACTGTTATGAATGTCGCCTTCTGATTGGTTTGGAGCGCATGCTTTATGAGAGCACATTGCACGCGCGCGCACTTTCCGTTGCGTCACTCCTATCTATTATTGTAATTTGTATTTTATAAAAGAAATTAAAAACTTGCTTGCTGTTCTGTGTGCAGTCATAAAGCACTTGGAGATTGGCAGAACACTCGAGAAATGTCCAGAAGCACTCCGCTATGTGTCGTGCTTCTCCTAACACTTCTCTCGTGTTCTGCCAACCCCCGCTTTATGACAGCACACAGCACGCRCGTGTTTTCTATTTCTTCATTATCACACACCTGTTTTTTAAATCTTGTACATTCTTCAGTAGTCATAGTATCAGACTTAGCAATGACAGGTACTATATTAACCTGACAACAAAAAACATCATCAAAAATTAGCTACTGCACAATAGGATATCCCCCTCCCCCCTCCACTCCCAGGCCCGTTGGTGACGAAATGCCCCCTCTGCCTTGGGAAAGATGGTAAAAGTCTCAATGCTGGTTCTATTGGCCCTCCCTCAGCTTTGGGGCCATTTTATCCCAAATATCCCTTAGTGAGGAGATATTAATAATTATTAATCTAGTATTTTATATTTCTCATAATGCTCATAATTACCTTTTTATGTAATTTCTTCATAAACTCTATGTCCAGTGGTTTGAGGCAGTGTCCAGTAGGTGCGATAAAATACAGACAACAATGAACTCTGCTATCTGGAAAAGGATGTCTGTTCACCTTACTTTCTTCAGTCAGAAATTCCTCAAATTTATTGTCAATGTACTCAATAATAGGCTTCCAGCTACAAAATTATAACATAATATATTAACATAGCATCATTGTTAAATAATAAAACAACACCTGGGCCATCATGATCCAACATCAGGGCTTATCTTATGGACCTTTATCGCAGCGCATCATGTTTATTCCCAAATAATATCTTAATACCAGATGAACACCATTATAAAACCTTAATTGCCTAATCAATAATCCATTTGTCTAACCACACGTAATCCCATTCTGATATCCTTGAGTGTGAGGCCAAGAGGGGAAATCTACTGTTCTAGTTATTAAGTTAAAATATGCCTTCTGTGTGGTTTAAGGGCCATGTAATTCACACATTGAATTAGAATTTAGGAAGCTGGGTTTTGCACCAACTCCATCTTGTTTCTACACAGGAATGGAGCCAAAATAGTTTTAGCTGGGTCATACCTCGTTTTTGGCTTAATGTTACTAGTCAAAATGACTGCCAAGGCAAACATTTGAATAAAGAAGTTCCAATTCTGGGCAAACATTCTCAGATATGTCCTGCTCTTATTTTTAGCTTTGGGATCAGGATACATTTTACTTTATGCATACATGTATATGATCAGGTGTGCAAAAAAAAAGTTGACATCTAGAATTTGTCACCAGGATTATATCATTTCTGCTTCAAAAATGTGGTGTTAATTTAATTTAAAATTTGTTTGGGACGCATTAGGTCCGGGGAAGGACTCTCTTGAAAAGTGGGTAGGAGGGCTCGACAGACCTTTTAGGGTCGAAAATGAGACCTCGCATACCTTTTAGGGTCTCCGGCTGACTCTTTAGGGTCAGATCTGTTCGTTCTTAAAATTTCAAACATCATACAAGAATATAATGGTTGAAAACACCGGTTGCCATTTTAAATGTGGTCGTGCCTCTTAGGGTCTGAAATCAGCATCTCAGTTAATTTATGCATAATGTATGCCCCCCGGGGCATTGGGTAATTTAGTCACACTAATAAATTTATTGTGTCTTATAGAATGAGGTACTGTATCTTCTTTACCAATAAAACTGAAACTCCTTTATAACTTAAAGTGCTACTATGATGAAAATCGCTCAAACTT